TTTTTTTAAAATTCGCACCTAGATTATGACTAGGGTTCTTTAGCTCAAACTTGAGCGATATAGGAAACCAAGTGCCGTACAAAAGAATTACCTTCGCCAAACCAATAAAAACGGGACCAAATTTGAGGCATGTCCACCCAAAGAGACCGGAGAATTTTGTTCGATTTGACATCAGGGATTTGACAGACAGGCACAACTCAATCATTTATAGCCGGTCGCGTACAGGATCTACACACGTTAAATGCTTCTTCGTTGAAATGCATGCTTTAGTAGAGAAGCTGTTCAGCAACCCATGATCGGCACCCAAGCTAATTAACCAAACACTGACTGTGCCTTTGTATTTTGGAATAAATGATATGATAACTCGGTTAAGAACTAATCTCTAAGAACTTACGAGTATTTGTAGACAGATTGATACAGAAACCTTCTCCCGACTGTAACGACCAAAAGTTATTTTCATAGAAATGCTTAACTTCCATTATTATCTTTTTCTCAAGGCTGGAGAATATTTTGATGATTCAGTTCAAAAGCAAACAGATCTTTGTCAATTTAGATGTAAATTTTAGTTGACTCAAGTTCCAACTGAGCTATTACGCTTTATTTATCAAATATTGCATTATATACATTGAATGCTTGCCCGATGAAAAGTTTGTTTAAGGGGAGAAACTGCTTAGCATTAGATGATCGGAACACAACAGACTGAACATTAAAGATAAACAGTTATTCCCGTAAAAATACATGAAAATTTTCCATAAGGATGGATAGTACCATGGTGATTTAGTGTCAAAACAAAGAAAACTGTCAAATTTACTTTTACAATTATCTCTCAAGGGAGTTCCGTCTGTTGTCGATGATATCCTACTGGAATATCTTTGTGCTATCCTTTGCTATGCTAGATCGTGAATAAGCTGCTTGTTTCTCTTCATTGAACCCTTAATAAACTCAATAAATTAAAAAATAATAATAAATTAAAAAAAAAAAGAAAAAAAAAAAAAAAGAAAGAAAAGAAAACACCGGTTTAGTACCAGAAAGGCGTGAAAAGACCTGGACCAATATGAATTGAAACAAATATCACTGAGATAGACCACGGATCCTGGTGGAGGCTCCTCCAAAATCTTCCTCCTGGAGGCTTGTCCAAAATCACCGTACATTTATCAAGGCAAGATAATATGCCCCCCTGTAATGAACTGCACAAAACTGATTGAACTTTTGAAATTCGCAAAATATTCAGTTCAAGAGTGATGAACAACTACTTACGAGTCTGCTATAAGCTGGTGGCCGAACAGTTTTTCCAAAACCGTAAATAAATGATCTGCGAGACAGTAGCTAATCAGGATGTGGTCAGAAGACAGTCTTCATCTATCTTGGCAACAACAACATATGCAGATGAGCATTGAACAAAGCAGCAAGAAGGGTGTGCCTACTTCTGTTGTATGCAATGAACAACAAAAAAAAATCCTGACTCGTAAATTCTGGCATGAAGTGTTGATGGATTTGAACGGTGTGGCTCTTAAAAAAGAAATAGGGTTAATCAAAATGATGATAGCACTAGTGAATTAAGGAAGGAACTCCCTGAAACGTTAGCTAGCTCTGTAAAAAATCTATATCTAGAGAAATCAAGGGTAAATATAGCTCTGGCTGCAAGTCTCAGATGCATTTTTATCAGCTGGTCAAAAGGCTTTCTTTCCAAAAGGAAGGCTGCATTGGTGCTTTTTTAGCTATGTTAATATGCCTATTAGAATGTAGTTGCCTTCTCGATACAATATTGCTATTAACATGAAATATGTCACTTGTTGTGAAGAAAAGAAAGGCAAGAGAGGAAGAAATGTTTTTAACATTAATTTGATATGTGAACTTCGAGGAAATGAAGGTCAAACATCGATTCAATTACCGTCGTATCCATCAAAATGGGTCATCGTGTTCCAAAGAAGTGCATAGATGGCAATACCAATGATTAACATTGCGACTTTTAAAACTTGGTGACACATTCCGGATTTTGTATCCTAAAAGTGAAAAAGTAAGACGTGCACACACCATAAACAACCCTCAAGATGATTTGAAAAGTGCCTCTTTGTTATACATAGATAGGCATCATTGCGGGAAACTCCGGCTGACCGTGTTCAAATCTATTCGATTGACTTGTAATTTCAATCGAAAATATTTTTGTTTTTGCCTGGCGATTGGATGAAAATATTTTGCCATAGGCGTTAAAAAGGACTATGTTGTTGACTTTAAGAATTAGGAAAAAAACATTATATACCTTGAAACCAGTCTTCTCGTGAACATGCCGTTTTTTAAATTAAAAACGGCAACTCACAACGGAACGTTGTTAGGCAATGCTATTTAATCATGACCTACCTTTACGTATGTTTCGTTTTCACTACCTCTGCAGAGCCCTTTATCCTGTTGGCCGTGCCGTTAAAACGAAGAAAATACTATGTGTACCTAATTTTGTTTTTCTTTAAAATGTCAAATATCTCTTACACATTTTACAACTTTAAGATTAAATGATACCCCTACGGGAGGTGCAATGGATAAAGGAATATTTTTCGAGTTTAAAGAAAAGCTACACAGCACAATTTTTATTCAATAGTAACGGATACCTTAGCAGCTAATACATATTATCGTAAATAGATCATTCGCTACGAATTTAGGAAAATAAACGACACTTTTTTAAAAACATGTTTCGGCAGTTCTTCTGTCATCTTCAGTTCTGATTTTACAAAGTACAAAGTTGAATGTAAACTGTATAAAAAAATGCTGATTGGACAAAACAAACAACAGTAACAGAAAAATGTATGCAATTACAAGGAAAGTTTTACATTAACATGATAGAGTTGATGATTAAGTGTAGGTTGCCCCCATTGCATGTGGATAGCTTCTTTGATTTTAAGTTGGAAAGTTGTGGAAGCGTGACCTAAGATGCTATTAAAACACTTATCAGAACATAGAGTGCGACATTGTGGAGAATTATGTAAATATTTGAAAATGTGAGAGGTCCTATCACTGGCCAAGTGCTCACGCACACGTGTGGATAAATGCCGGGAGGTTTCGCCCGCACATAAAAACTTGTAAACCACAGACGTACGGAGCCCAGGAGGGATAGAGTCTTTTACACCAAACATATAACCTATTTTAAAAGATGAAAAAACCAACTTAATATCTATTTTTTGTTAAAATAACGCTTGGTGGCGAACCCTTTTTTGCGTGACATTAGAAAGAGGGCCAATGTAAGGTAATTTGAAATAAAAGGTGAGCGTAGTGTCCGAAACGGAGACCGGGAGATTGCACTCACTACAGGTCAGCGTGAGGTACCGATTGACAACCCCTTTCAAGTAGATGTGCTGGAAAAAGATTCTTTTTTTTTATTAGCAAAGGTAGCAAGGTAGCAAATGATCTGGACAGCAGCAGATATGTTACGGAGTTAAGAAAATAAAGGACACTTTTTAAAACCATGTTTTGTGACGATAGGTTTTCTCGCCCAAACTGGAGGGCTGAATCTTCGCGACGGAACAATAACAACTGGGGGAAATAACTCTGTAGAGACGACTTGGCAGCGAGAACGGAAACTCGTCACGATTTCCTGGTACACGGAGATCTGCTTCGAGCGAGCTTATACGGACGTCAAGGATAAGACAATCTTTGGTTCCACAGTACTTTTATTCTAGGTCAGGCCAACAAGCGATATGACCTCTAGCATACTCTAGTTTGTGATCATCAAAGCTGTACAAGGTACTTGCTTAAGAAGTAACTGGTGCGAAGTGCTATTGTTACACAAATCGCAATATTTGAATAAGGACACAAAGGAGCGGAAAAAGTCTCTTTGAAGTTAAACGAAAACTTCTTAAATATTCCATCTGTTTCTACGACGGAAAGAATCTCAAAATTAAAAAGACGGATGCAATAAACTCTAGGCCATTAAAGTAGGAAACCTAGGTGCGAATTTACAGCTCTGATATAGAAAACAATACCTATCTTAATTGCAGCAGCGCAGCTTAGGAAATAGAAAACGGAAAAGCAATTAAAGTTTCTGCTTATTTACGCAAGATTGGTTTGGAAACCATTGCATGAAAAGAAATTAAATTTACGAGTATAAACTCAGCTGCTATCTACCATGAAAACCAATGTTTCCAGAAAGACCATTAACACTTATATTTACCTAGAAAAAACCATGTAATAAATAACAAAAGTGCCGACAAGCAGGTACATATGATGAAAGCGAGTAACAACAAAAATCTATTCAAAAGCTACTGTGGTTTTTATGCATTTTTTGATTTATTGAAATGAAAGGACTTGAAATGGTTAAATGTGAAAGTTTACGAATAAATATGTTCCGAATAACACACACGGTAAAATCAGTAGATTTTCCCGTAACAGTTTCGGCAGTTCTTCTGTCACCTTCAGTTCTGATTTGACAAAGTACAAAGTTGAATTTAAACTGTAGAACAAAATACTGATTGGATAAAACAAACAACAGTAACAGAAACATGTATGCAATTACAAGGAAAGTTTTAAATCAACATGATAAAGTTGATTAATAAGTGTCAAAGTCTAATGGTGACACTAATCACTGTCAAACGAAAATAAAGATTTCAAAAAGCTACATTTCTGGATTTCTTCCATGACTTTCTCTTTCTGTTCGTTACTCCATTCTATCAAATACCTAGACCGAGATGATTTGGAATAGAGATCTCTTGTTGCTAATTCGACAAATTCATTGTAACAAGAAACACCAACAAAGTCACATAACATTTGTAAAGTGCGTCGTGGATTTGTCAGCAAATCCCGGCTGCATACATTCAGGATCTGGTAGTACCTCAGATCACGTAGATATTGAACTGTCCGCACTTTAGTGAAGTAAAAAATCAATGCAAAAGTCCAACGCTGTTGTGTTGCGTACCTGTCGAGAAAAAAAAATATAAGGCTTTGCATGACACAAGCGAAATATTCAGATCTCGGCTGTATACATTGAGAACCCGATAGTGCCTCAGGTCATGACGATATTGAATTGTCTGCACTTTGATAAAATAATTTTCGATCCAGAAGTCGAGGTTAGGTGCATTCCGTACCGCGCGATTAAGATACGCGGCTCTGATCCCGGATATGTAGCGATCGTATTGAATCTGCCAGTGTTTTACGTCGTGATAAAACTCTCCAGTCCATTAAAAAAAAATCAGGTATTTTTATGAAAAATAAAAGATTTTCTTTGATAAGAACCAATGTGAAACGATAGATGATATACCCCTATATTTACTTACCATTTGATGACTTCTAGGATTCACACCTAGTCTCCTTCTACATATAGTAGCAATGTTATCAAATGGATTTCTGATGACGTTAATCAGTTTGATTGGAATTCCCAGCACTTTCTCCAGTTTTCGCAAATCGTGAAGCCCTTTTTCGTGATGTAAACGTGCGGTAGTTACAGATGCTTTTTTGTCTCCAATTACCTGAGGAAAATATACGTGCAATCTTATGTAAAAGTCAGTTTTACTCACGCGATTGTGAATAAGCAACCATTGCTCGGGGCAATAATTTACTCGGGCTCCATAAAATAGGGAAATAAGTCCCGTAAGATTTAGCGGTATGCAATGTATCCCTTTAATTAGAGCCCAGAGGGAAGTTCTAATTTCTTAGCATTAATCAATATTTGTAAATAATGAATTTTGTCACATTAAATCCATTAAACTTGTGGTTCCAGCCATCATATACCTATGCACATTTACAAAATTTAGAAAGCGCCCCCTGGAAACGACAATAAAAGTAATGCTAACTACAATACGTATATCACGCGAGGCTGATTTATCGTTCACTTCCAAGGAAAAATGAATCGAATGGAAGTAAAGGAACACTACAAGACCCTAATAAAGGAGGTATATAAGTATAAATAAAATTGCGACAAAATTTTCGAAAGTGATTGGTCATCACCAGCCCAATTTGAGCACTAATAGGACAGTGTACACGAAGTGCTCGTAATTGGACAGGGTAAAAAGAGAGTGGAAACGTCATGCCTGTGTAATTGGACAGTGCACATCGTGCGCTTGCACCGTTGCTACTTATTCGCCGGGTAAACAAGTTTTAATTTTTTATTGATGAAAACGTATAACAGATGTTTAGTTTCGTTCTCAAATTTTGTCATAGTTTATAGTAATTGTTAGCCGGACTGCGTGCTATCCAATTCTGTCTGTAATCATATTCGTAATTAATAAATCCCACTGCGCGGTTGTCCGATTTTTTTCATCACTCGTATTACATGGTTTTCAGGGGGAATGGAGGGGGATCTGTTGTTGTCAACAAGGCTTAAACAGGTACCGTAGGAAATTGACTGCCAATTAGAAAATTAGTTGGACTCCTTTTGAAAGCATTGCTAACTTTTCTGTTATGAGTATGCAAGCATCGATTCCTATTTCGATTTTTCTAAATAGCCGCTGTATGCAGACTGTTTTATCCTTGTTGGAGATTTGAAAGACTTAAATTGCTTGTTCATAACCACCAGCATAAAGAATACCCCGAGAGACTGAAGTTTGGACTTCCTAGTCCGGTTCTTTTCAGTACATGGGCCCTTTCAAATATCTCGTACCTTAAGTTTACTTTTGCAATCACCTTGCCAGCCTCCTTTGATGTTGTAGCAGTAGGATACGGAGCTGTTGCAAATTGACGAACGACTACCAAACATGGCCTGTCTGCGCGAACGAGTATGTATGTCATAGAATATCCTCAGCTTGCGCTCATCGTTTGTTTGGCTAGGATCCATAAAGAAACTGTCAAACTTATAAAGCAGATTAAACTCATCCGAAATAACTATTTCTGGATGGGAATCTAAAATGGCAGCAACCAAACTGTGACCGCTTCTTGGACGTCCAACGAAAAGCATAAAAGTTTCAACATTGCGATATAAAAATGTCAGCTCACGCTCCAGTTCTCCTTGAAAGAAGAAAAAGAAAAAAAGGCGATTCAATTACTTAATGAAGACAAAGAGAGTGTCCTGAAAAAAAAAACGATTAATTTACGGAAGAACCTAAGATTAAGGGAAGGGACTATCAAAATGGTTTTTCACTTAACTAAAAAAATTCACGGTTTTGGCATAATTGTCGATACTCTATTTTTTTTGCCTTGGTTTTTTCCATCGTTCTTCTTCTTCATCCGTCATTAACTGTGCTCTGGTGAATGCTTTTCTACTCAGGATTTAACTTTCCGTGTAGGCTTTTTTTTAACTCGCACCTAGATTGTAATTACGAGTCTTTAGCTCAAACTTGGGTGAAACACGAGACCAAGTGCCGCACAAAAGAACTACCGTCCCCAAGCCAATACAAACGGGACCAAATTTGAGCCTTTTCCACCCATAGAGGCCGTTGAAATTCGTTCGATTTGACATCAGGGATAATAATTGTGCAGACAGGTACCGATCATTCATTTATAGCCGGTCGTGTACGTAATCTACGCACGTTAAATGCTTCTTCGGTGAAATGCTTGCTTAAGTTAAGAGGTTGCTAAGCAATCGATGACCGGCTCACACATAGAAATATCCAATCACTGACTCAACGGTCATTTTCAAATTGAAGGATAAAATCATGCGCTTATACAATCAATTGTAAAAATGGTAATGAGATACTAACTAAAGCTCTAAAATATATACATAGAAATAATACTAGAATATTGCGGCAAGAATGATAAAAACGTTAAGGCGAAAGAAACAATATATAAAGTGAATCGATTGGGTAAATACTTTTGCACAGATCGAATCACAGACTCTGTTTGTTCAGTTTTAGTCTGAGTACGCGCATAGAAAACAATCTAGTTTACTCTGACATTTCTTCAAAATCTTGAAATTTCTCTAGATGGTCTAAGAACCCTTTCCATGTTCGTCCTTTTGGTGATTGCCGATTGTTGATCTAAAGTCCGTTTCTAAAAATTTGTCGATTCGAAAGTTGAGTATCCCTATGGAAAAAAACTTTCCGTTGTTATTGTCATTGTCAAGCTGTCTGCATATACTCGTAAGTTCTTAGAGATTACAACTCAAACTGAATAGCCATAATTAGTTGTTTCAAAATACAAAGGCACAGTCAGTGTTGGTCATTTCCCGGCTGTGTGCGCCGATCATAGATTGCTTAGCAGCTTCTTAACTTACGCAACCATGTCACCGAAGAAGCATTGATTTGTGCCTGTCTACACAATTATCTCTGATGTCAAATCGAACGAATTTCAGCGGCCTCTTTGGGTGAAAAAGGCTCAAATTTGGCCCCGTTTGTATTGGCTTGGGGATGGCAATTCTTTTGTGTGGCTCTTAGTCTTGTATTTTTTACCCAAGTTTGAGCTAAAGACCTGTAATCACAATCAAGGTGCGAATTTCAAAAAAAGCGTACATGGGAAAAATTAATGTGTCTTAGTTCATACAGTAGGACAAACCATTTTGATAGTACACTCCCTTAATCTTAGGTACTTCCGTGAATTAATCGGTTTTTTTTTTTTTTTATTTATTTTTTTTCAGGACACTCTCTTTGTCTTAATTAAGTAATTGAATCGCATTTTCTTCTTCTTCTTCTTTCAAGGAGAACTGGACCGTGAACTGACATTTTTATATCGCAATGTTGAAACTTTTGTGCTCTTCGTTAGACATTCAAGAAGCGGTCATAGTTTGGTGGCTGCCATTTTAGGTTCCCATCCAGAAATAATTATTTTGGATGAGTTTAATCTGCTTTATAAGTTTGACAGTTTCTTTATGGATCCTAGCCAAACAAACGATGAGCGTAAGCTGAGGATATTCTATGACATACATGCTCGCTCGCGTCCACAGGCCATGTTTGGAAGTCGTTCGTCAATTTGCAACAGCCGAGCTCCTTATCCTACCACTACAACATCAAAGGAGGCTGGCAAGGCGATTGCAAAAGTAAACTTAAGGTACGAGATATTTGAAAGGGCCCATGTTCTGAAAAGAACCGGATTAGGAAATCCAGACTTCAATTTTCTTTATTCTGGTCTTTATTAGCAAGTAAGTTAAGTCTTATAAATCTCCAACAAGGATGAAACAGTCTGCTTACTGACCAGCGGCTATTCAGAAAAATCAAAATAGAAATCGATACTCGCATACTCATAACAGAAAGGTTATCAATGCTTCCAAAGGAATCCAACTAATTTTCTAATTGGCAGTCAATTTCCTTCAGTACCCCTTTAAGCTATCCTGGCGACAACAGATCCCCCTCCATTCCCCCAGAAAACCATATAACACAAGTAATGAAAAAAATCGAGCAACCGTGCCGTGGGATTTTTTTAATTACGAATATGATTACCGACAGAATTGGACGACTTGTAGTCCGGCTACCAATTGTTCAAAACTATGACAAAATTTCAGAACGAAACTAGAATGTGTTATACGTTTTCATGAAAAAAACAGCAACAGCACGAGCACATGATGCGCACTGTTCATATACAAAGGCATAACGTTTCTGTTTTTTTACACTTTCCAATTACAAGCATTTTGCGTACACTGTCCTATTAGTGCTAAAATCGGGCTGGTGATGACCAATCATTTTTTGAAAATTTTTGAGTTTGTTTGGAACATGTCTAAGCATAAACTTTTCATGATATCCATTTTCGATTTACTCAAGGTCTTTCGCTCTTGTATTTACAAAAATATAGAAAAGCCACAGTAGTTTTTGCTTTGCCAACTATTATATTTTTCTGGTTACTTTGCCTTTCATTATACACCTGTATGTCGGTACTTAGATGACCATTACTGTTGAAATTGCATTGATTAACGTCATCAGAAATCCATTTAATAATGTTGTGAATCCTGGAAGTCTTCAAATAGTAAGCAAATATAGAAGTTTGTTTTCCATTATTTCTCACTGGTTCTTATCAAAGTAAACCTTTTATTTTTCATGATAATATTTGATTTTGCTATATGGACTGGAGTGTTTTACCAGGAACTAAAACACTCGCAGAATCAATACGATCGCTACATCCGGGATCAGGGCCGCGATATTGTACTTGCCACTAGTACATGGAATTCATAACTTCTTGTCCTTGTGCAATATCCACTATATATCGTCCATTTTTTCCTTTGTTTTATTATTACCATTAGTTCTGTAAGAATATTTGTGATTTACTGTTTGTTTACATATATTCACATAAACTGTTTTGATAAAATAATAATTAGTTGTCATTGAATCACAATCTAAAACCTTATGATTTTCTTATAGGGTAGGGAATGCAACCAACCTCGACTTCTGCATCGAAAAATATTTCATCAAAGCACAGGCAGTTCCATATCTTCGTAAAATTAGGCACTATCAGATTCTCAATGTAAACAGCTGGTATGTGACTTTGTTGGTGTTTCTTGTTACAGTGATTTTGTCGAATTAGCAACAAGAGATCTCTATTCCAAATCATCTCGGACTACGCATTTGATAGAATGGAATAACGAACACAAAGAGAAAGTCATGAAGGAAATCCAGAAATAAAGCTTTTTAATTAGTGTCACCAGAAGACTTTGATGCTTATCTCAAACACGGTCTGATGTTGCTCGTTTGAGTCCAAGATGAAATTTTTTGCAAAGAGTACTGTTCTCTTCTATACAGAGTATGAACGCTTTAAGCTTCATCAACACTCATCCATTAAAAGAAAATTTATAATTATTTAGAATCACTATCAAAAGAAAAACGCTCCAGAAAAGAGTACTTGTTCATCTCGTTCATAATTCTTTCCTTCTGTTTTGAAGTCCACGCGACCGCATGTCTCGTCAACGACGGCTTAGCGTACAGTAGTTCTGAGGCAGATTCGACAAAGTCTGGATAACAGGCTACTTTTAGAAAGTTGCATAGGTTTTGCAGACTTTCACGGGGTTTGGAAATAACTTCATGACCGTAGACATCTAGTACTTCGAACTTCCCATATCGTTTCAGTCTCTCAGCGGACTTTACTTTGGCGAAAAAGTCGTCGATAATTTTATCCAACAAGGTTACATTGCTTGCCTGCGAAACAAAACAAGCAAGACATTTTTTCAAAACAAATTTTAATACTACTTAATTACAGTTGCACTGACAAAATTGGCATATTTCCCGTAATTTTCAAAAGAGGAAAGGTTAAAGGTCTTGAAATACATGTAAACTGTATATGACAGATAGTCTCACCCCTTCGAAGGTGCAATAATTTTTAGAAAGAAGATACAAGAAGTCTAAATCACATTCACCCCAGCAAAAAAAGTTTAGTTTCACAGAATGTTCCATAAAATTCAAATAATCGTTTACTTGTATTTTCAATGTGTCACTTTGAAGTCAACAAGCGTCGCTTTATGCAGCCTATACGAATAAGAAAAAAATATAACAGACTTCAACTAAAAAGCTTTAATACATGTTTAAGTTTTGGTGTGAATGGGATCTAAGACTACCGGACAAAACTAATTAACTATGAGTTTTTCGAAAGTTACAAGAAACTTACTTTAAATGTGCTGCTTTTAGCCATGTCCCTGACCTCGAGATTTCTCAGCAATTTAGTGGCAATATTGTCAAACGGGTTTCTGATAACGTGAATGAATTTAAGTTTTAGGGTAAGAGTTCTGCTTATATCCTCCAAAATATCAAAATTTTTTGGATTTTCTAACAAATGGCTTGTTGCTGTTCCCTTTTTGTCTCCAATGACCTTGCAATAAAAAAAGGTTGAAAAGTCACGCATAAATGGGTGTATTTTCCTGAATATGATCTTTTTAGCTGAAAAATGAATAGTTGCTGCAGTTAACAACGTTACAAATTTGGAACAGTGAAGTGGTGCAAGTCGAAATATGTAAGTATTGCATGCATTCTACATTGACAAACGTAAAGTTAGGTGCTGAAAAAGTAAAACATAATCATGATACAAGTTTGGATGCGTAGTATCCGCTTAGAATTCATTCCTTAAACCCAGTTTACTGATGGTGTTTCAGTTCTTCAATCACCTGAAATAAGGATGTTTACGAGGGAACTTTGTTTTTCTATGCTTCAAGTTCGAACAATTATTCTAAACGTAGCTTTAAATCAATTCTATTCAGTGAAATTCTTCTTCTATGATCATCTGGACTCGATGGAATACCCAATGCCCCCCCTCCCCCTTCTCCACCCCTCTCGCATTTACTAATACACCTATTATAACTAACCCCAATCTATACCTTTACTCTTTCTTTATACGTTCCCTGCCACTGTCCAGGTACAGAGTAACTATACCCACCACCGCTACGGCGTGATGCTGCACGGTTTCCAAACATTGCTTGAAATCGTGACAAGGCGTGCAGGGCAAAAAGGACACGGGTCTTTAGCCCACTGCCGCTTTTCAGTTTGAATTCACTCCACTTTACTATCAAATTATATTCGTGAGGAATGATAATCTCTGGGTGAGCATCCAAAATGGCTCCGATGAGACTATGACCACTACGAGCGTGGCCAATGAATAAAACAAGAGTTTCGACACCATCGTATAACTTGTTGAGCCGCAGCTCTAGATGTCCACCAGAGAATTGTCCTAGTGAAATTTTAAATGGATTTAAGGAGTTAATTCAATCAAATAGATGCATGTAAATTGAGTAGAAGTACTCTTATGGCAAAGGTAAGTAGTTTTCAAAGAGATAGATAGATAATTAAAAATTCGAAGAGCTGAGTTTTCAAATAACTTCGCACAAAATACAAGATAAAATTGTATTCATAGACAAAATACCGTGAAAATCAATAACAGAGATATTCTTCATTTGGAGGTTGGGAATCTGTTATAAAAACGCGAACAACGTGACAAAGCACATTCAACGTAAATGAATTTCATTTAAGTACAATAAAATCAAGGTCTTTTCACATTTATATAACTTTTCGAGCCTGTGCAGTCGTCCTTCGTGTAAAAACCCAAGACTATTCATGAACTAAGGCTTCCACAACCTCTTGGGGAGAATGGAGTGATTTAAAGATTCAACTTGTGTCAATCTCGCTCTCACATAAAGCTTAAATCTAGGCCATGTCATGGAGTGTTTTCGGAATAGTTATAATGTTTGCTTTAAATGAAAGTGTTTCTTGCAGGCTTTGCTTTGGAGTTGAGCTTTATCTTTAGATTCTCTGAAATCATTGGATACCAATAGTTAAATAGATTTTGATTTTACAAATATATTAAAAAAAAAAAGAAAGCTAAGGATGAACAGCAATGCTGCAGAATCTAGTCAAGAAACCTCCCTACAACTTGTAATAGTTAACAAAAGAGTTTACTTACCATTAGACTGAAGAACATCGATGGATGGACGAGGATACAGATTGGTACAGAATAACAAAGCTGTTACGAGTAGAAGCAGCGAGGCAATTACAACGTAAACACGAAAAGATTTCATTCTTGTAGAAATCCGTTAGATTCAACCCCTACCTACAAAAGCAAAGAAAAGCAGATAAAATGAAGATTAACAATGGCTTAAATGCAATAGAAACTTTTTTGAAAGAGAAGGGTGCTGTAATGTTGAGATAAAGTTTGTTGACATATATCTTTATACACAATATTAACCATTTCAATAGGTTTTTATCCACTTACTAGCAGCCATCAGTCGATCGAAAATATAATATCTAGAATTTTACTTTCATGTCAAGGTAGCAAATTATCTATTTATGGTAATATATACTGGCTGCTGGGGTATTCGTCGCTATTGAAAAAAATGCGTAGCGTAGTTTTTCTTTAAACTTGACAAATATTCCTTTATCCATCGCATCTCCCGTAGGGCTACCATTTAATCTTAAAGTTGTCAAATGTTTAAGAGATAGTATTAACATATTAAAGGAAACAAATTTTAAATTAAGTACACGTAGCATTTTCATTGTTTTTTTTCATTGCCTAACAAAGTTCCGTTGTGAGCTGCCGTTTTTTTGTTTTTTTTTTAAACGGCACGTTCACGTGAAAACCGGTTTCAAGGTATGTAATTTTTTTCCTCTATTTCTTAAATTTAAGATCATAGTGCTTTAAACTCCGCTATAGCACAATATCATTAATTGCCAAGCAAAGACAAAGCTATTTTTTATTTAAATTACAAGTCAATCAAATAGATTTGAACGCGGTCGGCATGAGTTTCCCGCATTGATGCCTATCTATGAATAACAAAGAGGAACTTTTCAAATCATCTTGAGAGTTGCTTATGGTGTGTGCACGTCTTACTTTTTCACTTAAGGATACAAAATCCGGAATGGCTCACCAATTTTTAAAAGTCGCAATTTTAATCATTGGTATTGCCATTTATGCACTTCTTTGGAACACGATGACCCGTTTTGATGGATACGACGGTAATTGAATCGATGAACTTCTCCTTATTTGACTTTCATTTCCTCGAAGTTCTCATATCAAATTATGTTAAAAACATTTCTTCCTCTCTTGCCTTTCGTTTCTTCACAACAAGTGACATATTTCATGTTAATAGCAATATTTTATCGAGAAGGCAACTACATTATAATAAGCATATTAACGAAACTAAAATAGCACTAAAGCAGCCTTCCTTTTGGAAAGGAAGACCTGTGACCAGCTGATAAAAACACACCTGAGACTTTCAGTCAGAGCTACATTTTCCCTTGATTTCTCTAGGTATAAATTTTGACAAAGCCTGGTAACGTTTCAGAGAACTCCTTCATTAATTCACCATTACTATCATTATTATGATTAACCCTTTTTTTTAAAGAGCTACACCGTTCAAATCCATCAACACTTGATGCCAGAATTTACGACAAAGTCAGGATTTTTTTGTTGTTCATTGGATACAACAGAAGCAGGCACACCCTACTTGCTGCTTTGCTAGATGCTCATCCACATGTCGTTGTTGCCAATGACTTTAACATCTTAAAGCAGTGGATTACCATGCCTGAAATATTTGACAGGAAAAAGTATTTTATCTATGAGCTGATTTACGCCAAATCACGCTATGATGTGATGTATGGTGTTCGCTCTCGGTTGGTAAACGGGGTCCCAGTACAATATCATTACAACGTGGAGGGTCAGTGGCAAGGACAGATCAATGAGGGTGTACAGGTACAGTTTTCATTTACATTTAAGACATAACTTGGACGCAACGTGCGCTCTAATTGGTCAAAAATCGCTGGATATTTACCTGTATATCCATAGGAAACTGTAACATCTTCCCGTCTGGTAAAACAAGGGGAAAATTTCCAGATTTTAATTTGGTGAAGGCCTTTGATTTGGAGGAAACGAGGAGGACGCTTTGAACGCCGACTAAAACTATATATATTTTTTATCATTATTAAATCTCTTATTCAATATTCGGTTCCACTAACTGATTGTTCTCCTGCGTAAAAAAAGAGACAGATTGTCAGAAATTCTCGATTAGAATTATCCAAACTTCTAAATGTAGGCAATTTTTTGCTTCCAGAAAATTTTCATTGGTCTACAGCTCACTGGGTGACCTGCAAATTGCTGTTTGTATGTTATGATCTGTTCATGCGCGATCCGGTTTACCCGAGTTTGGCTCCCAACGATGTTCTGCATATGTAAATTGTGGCAACTTCGATTATAAATATAAAGCCATTACCAGAATTCCCATCAATGAAAGACAAGATAGATGAAGAGTGTCTCTTCTGACGACATCCGAATTGTAGTCATTGTCTTGCAAATCATTTATTTGCGGTTTTGGAAAAATTGCTCGGTCACTAACTCATAACAAACTTTTGCTTTAACTCGTATATAATTGTTCATCTCTCTTGAACTGGAGATTTTGAAGTTCAATCAGTTTTTTGCAGTTCATTACAAGGGCTAATCATCTTGCCTTGATAAATGTATGTTATTTTCGGACAAGACTCTAGGATCCCTGGTCTACTCCAATGATATTTGTTTCAATTTACATTGGTTAGGTCTTTTCACGCCTTTCTGGTACTAGGCCGGTGTTTTTTTTTTTCATTTTTATTTAGTTTATTTAGGTTTTAAGAGCAACAAGCAGCTTATTCACGACCTAACATATCTATAAACTAAATCCCCATTGTACTATCCATCCTCTTTTCTGCATTTACGCATCTTTACGGAACGTGGAACTTGTCCGTAAAGAAGAGGCTTTAAATTAACTTTTTTTTACGCAAGAGTCAAAGATGCATTGAGTGCTTTGTTGTTAGACTTATCCTTTAACAGACACAGGGCCGTAGCCAAACTTCAGAACAAGACGAGGCAAGTTTCAAGCGCAGATAGGAGGGTATGAGGGCATGCCCCCCAAGAATATTTTGAAATCTAGAGGCTCTGAAATGCTCTTTTAAGCACTTTCCGTGGCATTTTTCTTCAGGAAGTCAATCTTGGGCCAAAATGGTCTTGCCTCATGCTAGCTACGGCCCTGAGTCATATGGCAAAAACATGCTGTTGCATTCGGCGCGCGGGCAACAACTGCGCACTTGTATTCGGTCGGGATACATTTGAATTTCATCAGAGGCACGTGACCAAAACTCAACAAATTACAGTGCTCGTTTTGTTGAGTGATAGTCTAGGTATATAACAAAATATTTTGTATCAAGCTGTATACACATACTCGTAAGTTCTTAGAGATTGGTGCTCAAATCGGGAAAAATCGTTTAAAATATAAAGGCCCAGTCAGTCTGTGATTCAGTCTGTTGTGTTCCGATCATCCATTGCTTAGCAGTTTCTCCTCTTAAAAAACTTTTTACTGGACAAATATTCAATGTGTATAATCTAATACTTGATAAATGAAGTGTAATATCTCGGTTGAAACTTAAGTTAACAAAAATTTGCTTCTAAACTGACAAAGGTTTATTTCTTTTAAACTGAATCATCAAAGTGTTCTCCAGCCTGGAAAAAAATGACAGTGAAGGTTAAGTATTTGCATCTAAACTGACGAAGATCTGTTTTTCTTTTAAACTGAGACATAAAAGTATTCTCCAGCCTTGAAAAAAAAATGACAATCAAAGTTAAGTATTTCTATGAAAATAACTTTTTGTCGTTACAGTTGGAAAAAGGTGTCTATATCAAGCCGTCTGAGTGTACTCGTAAGTTCTTTGTTCTTACTATGGGCGCCGATCATTGATTGCTTAACAGCTTCTCCACTTAAGCAAACATTTCACATTTCAAACGTTTCAAATCTCTTTTTAAAATTCAGTCCAACTAACTGATTGCTTCCTTTTAAGCCTTAATTTTTCGCTGCGCGAAAAAAGAGACACCTTCAGAAATTACCAAACTACTCGCTGAGAAGGAAAAGTTAGCATTTCTTTCTACTTCAAGAAAATTGTAGCGACAAACCAACTGGTGGTTTATTACTCAACTAATCACCATAATACGACATTATTATTCAAGGTGCAAGCACTCCATCTCTCGAAACTATTTAACAAGAGGCAAAGATCACTGGACTTACGCTTCTTACTGAGCCGGTAAAACTCGTCATGTGATCAATAGTTAATATAAACTAACTCAAGGCATGGCAGCATGATGGTCAAGTCATATAAGTCATAGAAAGCAGTTATAGTTTGTGTTTTGCGCACAGAGACAGATAGATTTGATAAGCAAGAGGTTAAATTTGTCTTTTCAAACTGCAGGAAAGCGCAGAACATTTTTTTTTTTACCAAAGACATGACGTTGGTCTACCGGCCAAACGAAACACGGAAAATTATGACCAGCTGGTTATAATAACGGCGTCAATTTGTATTAATACAAATTAGACTAATTAGGAAAAATCTGAATGGCTTTCAATCAAGGTACGTGTAAAGTTGACATGATGACCCAATACCTGCAGCAGATATTGCATGTATCATTTCTAAGTCTACTTACGAGCTGCTCGTAAGCCAAACTTTTCCAAAGTCAGAGAGAAATGGCTCCCTATTAAAAAAATTATGAATGATAAAGCAATTCTCTAATTTGGATTTTGCATGGTATCATGAATTATCATACCTTGTGCCTGTTTTATCTCAGACTTCGGTTTGATAACTCAACCTTACCTGATAATTGTTTAATATCTAGTTCTTTTCTTGCAGGTGATAGGAGATAAGAAAGCAGCTCAGGCTTCAAAAATTTTGCTCCAAAGTGAAGGAAGAGAGCATCTTCGAAATTTAGAGCGCAAACTTGGCACAAAGCTTAAATTCATTCACGTTGTGCGTAATCCTTTCGATAACATTGCAACTTTAGCGCTTCGCAAGGCGAAACTCAAGAAAAACGAAGTCCAAGACAACCTTGAGGTTAGTAGGTGGTTGGATACATATATATCTACCTCACAATATGCCATGGTGTTACAGTCATTTTGAGAGGGGGGAGGGGACTAAATCTTGGTGGGTGGGGCTGTAACGTCGACCTGATGAAGGCGAAAAGTTTTACTCTAGGTTTTGAGCGTCTTTATTTGCCATCGAGGTTAAGAAATTCCTTGACTTACCTGTCGTTTACCAAGGAGATAGAGATTCACGCACATAAAAGAGTAATAATGATGCTTTTTGTTTGTCTGTTTTATTTAGCTTTTTTTCTTTTTTTTTTATGGTTTCTTCCTTTGTTTGTTAGTTTGTATATGCTAATACATTTTTTTTTTGTCATGGTTTTCTTGATAACGTGCTCCCATGTCTATGTTTATTGTCTAATTGCAGTGTGATTGTCACGAGGAGCTTGATGATGCCATAGCGGAATACAGTACCCAGGTGGAGGGAACTTCGCAAGTCAAGAAGAACTTTCCAGGTCGTGTACTCGACGTGCACGGTATGGATTTAATGAAAAACCCGCGTGAAACCCTCATGAAAATTTGTGACTTCTTGGAAATCACGTGCACCAAGAAATACTTAGAGGACTGTGTTTCAATTGTGAGCCCCGTTCCCTCTAAAACTCGCCAGTTCGTTAAGTGGACTGAAAAACAACTAAAAAGAGTTCAGATGTTGATTAAAAATCATTCATTTCTTCAATCATATTCATTTGAAAATTAAAAGATCTTCAAAATGTTTCCATTTTTTTGGTGCAAAAAAAAACAAGTTCATTTAGACATAGTTTGATGCTACTCTGGTTTGCATATTTAATGAATGTAACCGAAGAAGTTACAATTCATAGGCCCAACGTTTCGACACTCCTGTCTAGTGCCTTCCTCAGGGGTGATCCAAACGCTGCAACAAAAGGTCCTTTTATATTATCACTAATTAGCGGCCTTTTTTCTGACGAGGTGTAAATAAGCGTCAGGAAGCAAACCGCCATCGTCGCGATTTAAAGGAGCCAAGCCTCCAAACAAAGGCGCTGGTGGTAACGTCGATTAGTGGTGATAATTTTAGAATTATCCCACCCAATTGTATGGTTAGTTAGGCATGTGTGCTCTGATAAAGCTGAATTTTCAGAGTAGCATCAAAAGTACCCTCCACCTGGGTACTGTATCACCAGAGTAGCATAAAAATAAACCATGTCTGATTGTCCACCTGATTGCCGTGTGAACTTTAATATAAGTTCATTTAGGTTACGAAATTACCATCCTTAAAAGACTTGATAGGAAATAAAGAGAAAAATAAGGAAAAAAAAAAGCAACACAGCGTTAGAACTTCGAAAATAGAAACTTCTTTTGTATCAACAACTGTTTATCACGTAAGAAAGAATGGAAGAATGGAAAATGAACCAAAATAAACATGTTACACATGTGGTGTCTAGTTATAAAGTAATTTACGCAACAGCATGTTCTCATATAAATCTTAGAACTGAAGTTTAACAAATTAGATTAAATTATTTTCTGCCTATAAAATTGGTTCAAGTAATAAAATAACAGTGAAGGAATTTCTTGTTGCAGTAAAGCTGTGTTATGAGGAGGATACTGAACTGTAATCTCAAATGTTGGAAATTAAAGCTTGTTTGTCCTCTGTGAGAGCGCTGAGCGTCAAACATAATTTTGCGGTTGCAGGGATCCTCTGGTAACTGAGCTAAAGAGCTGTAGTTCAGTAGTGAGAAGGTTCGTTTATTTTTCATCTTGTCTCGAGCGTGGGATAAAGAAAAAAAGTCCCGAGTCCCTACGAAGAACCGATCTCAGACTTTCGGATTCCACACTCGTTCAAGGAAAAGGGAAATATTTTGGTTTTTCCTTTTTTTCTTTATTGTTGTTGTTGTTTGTTTTTCTTTTATCATTGGGAACTTGTTGATAAGCTACGTGAACGTTAGGGCTATTGGAAAAGAGTGCACCTTAACCGGAAGGGAATTACTTCCGGGAATTTTTGTTGCGTTTGTTTCTCCAAAATTAAAATACCTTATATCTTAACCAAACCATGTAATTTTCCGTGCCCGTTTTCAAACTTGAAATTCAGCTTTCTTTCTAACTTTCTCGAGACCTATAGGGGGAATCGATGGGCTCAAAACCAATACCTCCTCGACACGGGCGAGAAATGTCCCCCAGCTCCTCCATTCCTTGAGGGAATGTCTCAGTGGGGTGATGACTTTTTATTTCCGTAACGATGAAAACATATTTAACAGCGAGTATTTTTTACATCAAATGGTTACAATTCCAAAAACATCAATTTTTACGCCAAACTGCTAAACGTTTTTTGCCATTTTACGGCTGACGCTTAACCCAATTGAGACCCTCATACAGAGTTTCACCAAATTGAGACCCTTTTACAGACTTTGACCCAATTGAGACCCTCTTACAGAGTTTGACCAAATTGATACCCTCTTACAGAGTTTGACCCAGTTGAGACCCTCTTGCAGAGTTTGAGTTCCTTGCGTACTGAGCAAACAATAAAAACCGAGAGGTAAAAAATAAAAAAGAACGAAAAAAGATTTTAGATATATGAAAATTCACATATTTGCACTGCGGTGGAAAGATGAAATTAGGAGATCCTCGCAGCTAAGAAGACTACTGAAACGAGTAGTTGTAAATAGGACCTGAAAAAAAAAAAAATTTCAGGCCCGTACGGGATTTGAACCCATGACCTCTGCGATACCGGTGCAGCGCTCTACCAATTGAGCTAACAAGCCAACTGGGAGCTGGTCAATGAATTGGGTCCAAATAAACATCCAAGTGAATGAAGATTTTAGATATATGAAAATTCACATATATGTGCATATATGTGAATTTTCATATATCTAAAATCTTCATTCACTTGGATGTTTATTTATATTTTATATTTATTTTTGGTTTTGAGATAAAGAAAAAAAGTTCCGAGTCCCTCCTAGGAACCGATCCCCAGACTCTCGGATTCCGCACTCGTTCAAGGAAAAGGGCAATATTTAGGTTTTTCCTTTTTTCTTTGTTACTGTTGTTGTTTTTGTTTGTTTTTCTTTTCTCATTGGGAACTATTTAATAAGCTAGGTGATCTATTTATGGTAATATATACTGGCTGCTAGGGTATTCGTCGCTATTGAAAAAAATGCGTAGTGTAGTTTTTCTTTAAACTTGACAAATATTCCTTTATCCATCGCACCTCCCGTAGGGCTACCATTTAATCTTAAAGTTGTCAAATGTTTAAGAGATAGTATTAACATATTAAAGAAAAACGAATATAAATTAGGTACACGAGGTATTTTCATTGTTTTGACGACACAGCCAGCAGGATGAAGGTCTCTGCAGAGGTAATGAAAATGGAACATTCGTATAAGTAGGTCATGATTAAATAGCATTGCCCAACAACGTTCCGTTGTGAGCTGCCGTTTTTTAATCTAAAAAACGAGAAAACCGCTTTCAAGGTATGCCATGTTTTTCTCTAATTCTCAAAGTCAAGATTATCGTCCTTTAAACGCCGCTATAACACAATATTTTCATCAAACTGCCGGGCAAAGACAAAATTATTTTTGATTTAAATTACAAGTCAATCAAATAGATTTAAATGCGGTCGGCCAGTTTTTCCCGCATTAATGCCTATATATGAAAAACAAAGAGGAACTTTTCAAATCATTTTGAGAGTTGCTAATAGTATGTGCACGCCTTACTTTTTCACTTTTAGGATACAAAATCCGGAATGGCTCACCAATTTTTAAAAGTCGCAATTTTAATCATTGGTCTTGCCATCTATGCATTTCTTTGGAACACGATGACCCATTTTGATGGATACGACGGTAATTGTATTGATGAACCCTTCCTTATTTGACTTTCATTTCCTCGACGTTCACATATCAAATTAATGTTAAAAACATTTCTTCTTCTCTTGGCTTTCTTTTCTTCACAACAAGTAACATATTTCATGTTAATAGCAATATTGTATCGAGAAGGCAACTACATTCTAATAGGCATATTAACAAAGCTAAAAAATCACCAAAGTAGCCTTCCTTTTTGAAAGAAAGGCCCGTGACCAGCTGATAAAAACACATCTGAGACTTTCAGAGACTTTCTCGTTGATTTCTCTAAATATAAATTTTGACAGTACATGGTAACTTTTCAGAGCAATTTTTTTATTAATTTTGCTATTAGTCTCATTATTATGATTAACCACTTTTTTTGTTAAGAGCTACACCGTTCAAATCCATCAACACTTGATGCCAGAATTTACGACAACGTCAGGATTTTTTTGTTGTTCATTGGCTACGACAGAAGCAGGCACACCTTACTTGCTGCATTGTTAGATGCTCATCCACATGTCGTTGTTGCGAACGACTTTAACATCTTAAAGCAGTGGATTACCATGCCTGAAATATTTGACAGGAAAAAGCATTTTATCTATGAGCTGATTTACGCCAAATCACGTTATGATGTGATGTACGGCGTTCGCTCTCGGTTGGTAAACGGGGGCCCAGTACAGTATCATTACAACGTGGAGGGTCAGTGGCAAGGACAGATCGGTGAGGGTGTACAGGTATAGTTTTCATTTACCTTTAAGACATAACTTGGACACAACGTGCGCTCTAGTTGGTCAAAAATCACTGGATATTTACTTATAAATCTATAGAAAACTGAAAAGGAGACAGACCGTCAGAAATTCTCGACTAGAATTTCCCAAACAACTAAATGTTGGCAAATCTTTGCTTCAAGAAAATTTTCATGGTCTAGAGCTCAGTGGGAGACCAGCAAAAAACTGTTTACATGTCATAGCCTGTTCATGCGCGATACGGTTTACCTGAGTTTGGCTCCCAACGGCGTTCTGTATATGTGAATTGTGACAACTTTGATTATCAAAAGCGACGTAAAAAAATGCCATTACCAAAGCCAATTCCCATCAACGAAAGACAAGATAGATGGAGAGTGTCTTCTGACCACATCTTTATTATAGTCACTGTCTTGCAGATCATTTATTTGCGGTTTTCAAAAACCGTTTTCAAAAACTGTTTGGCCACTAACTTATAACAAATATTTGCTTAAACAGATATATAATTGTTCATCACTCGTGAACTGAAGATTTTGCGAATTTACAAAGTTAAATAAGTTTTGTGCAGTTCACCACAGGAGCTTATCGTCTTGCCTTGATACATGTATGTTGATTTTGGATAAGACTCCAGGATCCGTCTCCCTAAATGATTTTGTTTAAATTTATATTGGTCTAGGTCTTTCAACGCCTTTCTGGTACTAAACCGGTGTTTTGTGTTTTTTTAATTTTTTTTGTTGGCTTTTTTTTTCATATTTAGTGAATTTTTTTAGGGTTTAAGAGAAACAGGCAGCTTATTCACGACTCAACATTTATATGAACTAAATCACCAAGGTACTATCCACCCTGTAGAAAAAATGCCAACTTAGTATTTTTATGGAAATAACTGTTTGTCTTTGCTAATACAAAAGGTTTTGTATCAAGCTGTGTGCACATACTCGTAACTTCTTAGAGATTGGTACCCAAATCGAAACAAATCGTTCAAAAAAAAGAAGCCCAGTCAGTCTGTGATTTAGTCTGCTTATCATCTATTACTCGGCAGTTTCTTCTCTTGAACAAACTTTTCACCGGACAAACATTCAATGTGTATAATCCAATAGTTGATAAATGAAGTGTAATAGCTCTGTTGAAACTTAAATTAACTAAAATTTACATCTAAATTGACAAAGGTATGTTTTTCTTTTAAACTGAGTCATCAAAGTATTCTCCAGCCTTAAAAAAAAAAGTTAAGTATTAAGCATACAACTTTTGGTCGTTACCGTTGGAAAAAGGTGTCTGTATCAAGCTGTCTGAGTGTACTCGTAAGTTCTTTGTTCTTACTTTGGGCGCCGATCATTGATTGCTTAACAGCTTTTCCACTTAAGCAAACATTTCACATTTCAAACTTTTCCTATCTCTTTTTAAAATCCAGTTCAATTAACTGATTGGTCCCTTTTAAGCC